GCTGTGAAAATATCATTTAATCTTCCCAACATCCCTATAATGGGCAGATTCCATTACTAACCTTACTTTACAGCAGTTTTAACTCCTGCAATACATCTTAGAGGAATGTGTGATTTCTCTTAGGGTTTGAAAAATATTTAGAATATCTCAAGATCCCTACTTCTGATTTGAGTGAGATACAAGTAGCATAAGACCCTAGGTTGCAACAACTTACTGACCCCATACCCTCACGTTCACAAATAAGATGGGGTCCCAGTAGCTCCGAAGATGAAATGAAACCACTGAGCCCCTGCTGCTCAGTCCTTTATTGTGCCATCAGCCAGCCAGGTGCAGCTGGGCCTTTGTCCATCGAGTGAGGAGGACTGCTGTGGTGGATTCATCCTGCCTCACTGGTGGGCCATCCGCTGCCCCCAGGACCAGCACAAGTATTAGCAAAACTGAATGTACTAAAAACCGTTGAATTATACTTTTTAAATGGGTGAATTCTATGGTATGTGAATTATATCTCAATAAAGTCATTCATATATTTGTGTATGTGTGTGTGCATACATAATATATAAATTAAAACAGCAAACAGCCCTGGCCGGTTTGGCTCAGCGGTTAGAGCGTCGGCCTGCGGTCCTGAGAGACCTGGGTTCGGTTCCCGCTAAGGGCACGTACCTCGGTTGCAGTTTGTCCCCGGCCCTGGTTGGTCGTGCGGGTGGCAGCCACTCGATGTGTCCCTTTCACATCGATGTTTCTCTCTCTCTCTTGGTTCCTCTCTCTCCCTCCCACTCTACCTGAACAAAAAATGGAAAAATGTCCTCGGGTGAGGATAAAAAATAAATAAATAAATAAAATAAAATAAAAAAAAACAGCAAACAAATCCAAGTTTTTTCCCCTTGTTTTGAAGGTACATATACCCAAAGTGAGCAACATCCCTTGAATGCATAGAAGTGCTCATCAGCTGCTATGTGTGACCCTGAAACTTAGTCATGTAACTGATTCCTATTCCAGATACTTTACCAATTGTCTCTAGCTTATTGCTTTTTTCCCTAGTTTAGTTTTGTTTTGCACTTGCATTGTCAACATGCAATATTTTGATGGCCCATAATTTTGTGAAAGAAAACAGCCAGCCATGTTCTTTGCTCCATAATTTTAAAACATTTTAGTTTTTAGATTTATAGAGATTAGAATGACCAAGCTAATGAATTTTGAAAATTAGAGCATGTGTTTCCCTTCGGTCACCTACAGTTGTCTTCAACATAGCTACACTTATGAACTGTAACAAACAGTATGAAGTGAATCTGGGTGCATAAGCATCATAAAAAATGAAAGAAGATGGCCACCTTTTAGCAAAACAAGATGGTCCAGGTTTTTTCATAAAAATTGTGTGATGAAATCTGTTGAATGACTTCACTAAATAATGACTTACGGCAAATTACCGTATTTCCTGTCTGTTTTTAGAGACATATTCACCAATTCTTGAGTTTGAGAAAATTCATCTAGGAAAGATTTTGCTTCTGTGACCGATATCCCATCATCCTTGGAGACTGGAGTGCTGCAGTGTGCCTCCGTTCTTTTTCTAGTGTGTGTAATCCGTGTGAGATGTCTTCTGTGGTCTCTTGTCATTATGGATGGGAAATGAAAAGTCCCGAATTCTTTTTTTGTTTTATTTAATGTTTTTATTGATTTTTTTTAATATGTAGAGAGAGAGAAACATCGATGGCTGCGTCCTGCATGTCCCTTACTGGGGATTGAGTCCGAAACCCAGGCACGTGCCCTGACGGGATGGAACTGGCACCTCTCAGTCCATGGAGTGACGCTCAGTCCACTGAGCCGCACATGCCAGGTGAAAATCCTGAATTCTAAATTGATGTCACTAGACTTATACCTTCTTAAAAGATGATAATCAATACTTTGGGCCATATATGGAAACTGAAACATGAGGTAATGGTGATTTATTTCATGACATCTTCCTTCTAGGCAATACCATCATTCTTCCACTTTCTTACCATCTTTGCCTTGTTTGACATAGTTGGGAATAATGTGAAGTTTTTATGATGATGAAACAGCAAAGTTTTTCAAGATACAGAAAAATAAGTTCAAAGGATCTAATGACTCCATATGGTGATTGCAAGAATGAATGAATATTATTCCATTTTTTTAGAAAATAAATTTCCCCATTGTTCCTTGGATGCCCACTAAAAAAGAATAGTGATAAAATATTAATCCTTAGAAATAATTAGAATTGCCCAAAAAAGAAACTCAAAAACTAAGTTTGGCTCCAGTGACTTCTGATGGTATACCCAAGTTGAATACTTGTTCTGGTGCACTGGGCCATGCGCGGGGTTCATGCTCCGGGCGGTGGTCTGGCAGCAGCGGGGTGGTGGGAGTGGGGAAGCAGGGGACTAGGAGCCAGGACGATCTTCCACAAATGGGCTGTTAGACTGAGAACAATGTAAGGGATAGGCAAAAGTAGGTTTACAGTTGTTTGGATGGGAAATAATATAGTAAGACAAGAGTAAACTTTTGCACTCACACCTGGAAACCTAATTTTGCTCACCCCTGTATTGGCTGTAACCAGCAGTCTAGGAAACTGGGACATACGGGATGTCCCCTTGTGCTTGTGTTCCTGTGAGCCTCACTCACCAGGGACATGAACCATGTCTCTCCTCATTCAAGGAGGCCTCTAAGGGCAGGAACAATATTCTACCAAGCTGGGATTATCCATGGTGGAAATCTTGTCTCTCCCACTTCTAAACAAATTCGGTGCTTCATTCAACACTCATTTTCTCAGATGAGCAGGGCCGGAGAGGCTGCATGGAGAGAGCAGCATTGCAGATAGCTGGATGCAGGTTGGAATCCTGGCTGTGCCACCCCCTCATCAGCTCAGTGACCTTAGTAAGCAAGTCATTTTACAACTGAGTCTGTCTGCTCGTTTGTAAAGGTGGTGGTGGGGTAGACGGTAGTACCAGCTCACAGGTATTAGGTAGAAAAGCAGGAAACTTTGATTTCATGTACTCAGTGGGAGGCCTTTTTCTGGGCACTGGAGGACAGATGAGGCTGACACCTTTCCTGCCTCAAAGGGCATCCTTGGGGTGTGTCTGGGACATTGGAGACAAAGGCCTGGCCATTGGTCAGGTTATAGAAGAGGGGCAGATAAGGAAGGGACAGGAGAGAGGTGAGAGGTCTGCCCCGGCATCAGCGCTTGCATGAAAGAGCACTGGGAGCACGAACGGTCACTGGGGAAGAGGTGCAGTCTGCTTGGCACGCAGAAGTGCCCATCCCAGGTGAGGGAGAGCTTGTCCCGGATTCGCCCTTATCTTTTCCACTTGGGCTTTCAAGGGGATAGGCAACGAATACAGTGCTTTGCTTTGTCCTGGATGTTATCCCTGGGGTGGGGACCAGCAGAGCCCGAGGAGCTGGACTTCCACGCTCTTCACCTCCCTGCTTTGCCATTATCAACTGTGTCCAGATGGTCACAGGCTCTCTAATCTGGGATAATCAGAGGGTAGGAGCTCAGCTGGGATCTGGGCCTTTGTGCTGGGCTGTGAAAGGCCAGCCCCAGCTGGAAAGATTTCCCAGACAGGGCCTTGGGGCTTTGGAAGATGGGAGGGGCGTGGGGCTGGCCCTGTGCTGGAGGAGTTACAAGGAGCCTATGATAGCTCTTCAAAAGGCAATCTGGGTGCAAATAAGGGGAGCCCCAGATGGGGTCTGCTAGGTCCTCCATCCTCTGGGCCTCAGAAACACAGGCACAGGAGCTGCACTGCTGGGCCTCTGCCTCAAGAATCTCTTTGTGGCATCTTTCATTCCCTCTCGGCACCCCTTCCCATCCAGCAGTTTTATGTCTGTTTGGAGAGCCCCAGGCTAACCCAGGTGCTTACAACTGCATCAGGAGCTCGAGCCCCCTGTTGATGCTGGGGCTCTTGCAGGTCCAGATGCAGAACCAGGTGGCTGGGTTCTCAAGGCCTGTGGCTCTGGTACCCACCACCCAGCTGCAAGCCTTGGACCCCAAGGCTGTTCAGGTTTGTTTTGTTTCAGCTTCTTTCATGAGTAGGGGAGTCCCACGCGGCTCTGGCTTCCAGCATTGAGCTTGGATTGGAGTCCTGTTTTCAAGGCCTTTATCCCACAGAGCCTGAACCCCCCAGAGTTCACATTTCTGCCTTCCTCAGGGTTTTACATTTCTGTTTCTGGTCCTTGGATATGTTTGCTTACTTAGTTGTCTGGGTTTTAATTTTGTCTATCACTGCTAGGTGTTTTAATTTGAGAGGGTTTTATAGAAAGAACCATCCTAACCAAAAGTACCTCATTGATTCTGAAGCTTCAGGAAATCTTAATCATAGTCTCTAAGTATGTGACTTTGGGCAATTCTCCTTATGTTACAAGGCAGGCACTTTGTAAAATACAGATGTTAATAATTAGCTCGCTAAAAGTTAAAAGTGTTGATAATCACAAATTGAAGGATAATTGATAACTTCGGATGACTGTGGGAAGGGGATGGGTTTGGGGATGGACACCAGAGCCTACAAAGGCATTTGTATCATTTTAGATATATATATCTTTTTTTTTTTACAGACTTTTTTTTTTTAATTTGCCCTCAGAGAGAGGAAGGGGGTGGCGGTAGAGAAAGAAACATCTATGTGAGAAACATTGATCGGTTGCCTCTTCCATGTGACCTGACTGGGGATCGAACCCACAACATGGGTATGTGTCCTGAACGGGAATCGAACTTGACACCTTTTGGTTATGGGATGCTGCGCTGCTCCAACCAGCTGAGTCACATGGGCCAGGGCTGTTAACATCTATTTCTTAAGCTAGGTGATAGGAACACAGATGTTTTGTTATTCTTAAACTGTACAAAAATATATATTCTTTTATGCACGAAATATTTCATAATTTTAAAAAGTATGTCCACACTGCTATTATGAAGGTAAATGAGACAACATACGAAGGTGCTTAGTAAAGAGTCAAAAGCAAGGAGCAGATACTTCTTCAGGCAAAGCAGGCTTGAGCTGGAACACAGACCAAACCTTGGAATGAGGTTTTATTTCTACAAGAAAAGGGGGCAATAAGTTAAGGAAATATTTACATGGAGGAGCCATGAGGAAAGCATAGTAGTAGGCCTGAGTTCTCCCTTCTCCCTCTGCCTCTTGGCTCAGGTTGCCCAAGTCTGAATCACCTGTCCAGGCTCTGGACAATGGTGACGCAGCCGTGGGAGCTGGTGCAGCGCTGCAGGGGTGGCTGGGCCTCCACCTGCCCACTGCTGGGGTCATAGGTGAAGACCCTGTCGGTGCTTTCCCCATGATCATCCCGTCCACCAACGATGTGCACCTTCCCATCACACACGGTCATGCCACAGCTCTCCTGGGTGGACAGACAGAAAGACAATCAGCTGCGGGGTCCAGCCTGGGGCTCACTCTGTCCCTAGCTGGCCAGACCAGACAACAAAACCTTGACCAAGCAATCTGGATGGTAGAGAGAACAGGAAATTGTTTGGAAGGCAAGAAGCTCTGGCTTGACCCTTGCTAAATGAATAGCCTCAGACAAATTGGTTAACCTCTCTGGGCCTCAGTTTCTTTATCTGAGAAGAACAAGAGTACGGTTGTCCCTCGCTACTTCGCGCTTCAATTTTCTCAGCTTCACTCTATTGCGTTTTTTTCAAGTACTATACTATACTGGAAAAAGCTGCTATAGAGTGTAGCCGCGATAGTTGAAGTGCGAAGTGGCAAGGGATGACGGTGTATAAATAAAGAATCCTACTTTGCGGAAATTTCTTTATTGCGGTAGAGTCTGGAACTGATTAACCACGATAACTGAGGGCCGACTCTACCTTCTTCACAAGGTTCCCCTAACAGTTAATGGGTTAAGCATGTATTTTTACATAGTGCCTAGAATGCAGTAAGCACTCCAGTAACAACAATAATAAACATCACCGCTACCATCTTAGGAAGCCAGAAATCTCAGGCTCTTCGGCTCACCGAAGGTCATAACTGGCAGGGACTACCAGTGCAATCACACCCTTGTATAGTCTCTCTGGAGTTTCAGGAGAGGTGACAAAAGGTGGGAGAGACAAGGAATACAGGGGCCAGAGTATCCATCTAGCACCTGGGCCTCCCTTCTCTGATATCACTGGGGCAGGGGAATACACCAAGTTCCTTCTCTATGTTCCCCCCTCCCACCTGTTCATCCTCTCTTCCTCCCGTAGGCTACCAGCTGGTGGCCTTCAGGATGAGAGTACAAGGTCATTTAGACCAAGTTCCTCATCTAATGCTACAGCACTTGGGACTGGGGTTCCAGGCTCTGCCTTAACGGGTGTCACTGGTGGTCTTGGACTGGGGCCTGAATCTCTCAGGCCAGTCTCCTCATCTGCAAAATGCAAGGCTAATTATCATTGCGAGGACAAAGCTAGAGTAGAGCTGCATGGAGTCAGACACAAGACTCGCTGGCTCCAAGACCAGCTCCTTAGAAGTGGGTTTTCCCTCTTCTGAATCGAACTAGTGCCAGGGCCATGCCTAGGAGCCTCCACTTACCACGGGGCTGGGGAGGACAGCTGCCTCCCCCCAGACATCTGTACCAGTGTTGTAGGTGAAGATTTTGCTCATGAGGCCCCCCACCACGTAGATGGTATCTTCAAGGGAGACGGCCTCAAGACATCGCTGTGAGAAGGGTGCTGGTGACCGCAGGCTCCACCGGTCCTCCTCGGGGTCAAAGCACTGCACCTGAAGGGCAGGAGGGTTAGCAGTAGTGAAGCCTCACCCCCCAACTGCCCTGCTGCCCATGCACTCCCACTTTTCTGCGTTAGGACACTCATTCAGCACAATAATTTGCCTCTGTCTGCCAGGGCTGCGCGTGTCTGGGAAGGTAGAGAAAACCCACTGTCCCTGCTTTCAAGTGTAGCTCCACCTTCTGTCTCCTGCCCCTGGACTCCCTGTGTCAAAGGCGTCCTCAACTTTCAAGGTCCAAGGAGAGGTCTCCATTCCAGGAGATGGAGGTACTGTCTACATTAGTGCTATAGAGGGTCTTTAGAGCAGGTGCCCCATGGAGATGTGTTCCTGGATGCAGACATTGTCAGTCAACCCTTGTCCCTCTTCCTGGTGTTATGAGGTCATGATAAAATTCCAGCTGGGGTGTCTTGCAGTGCACATTACTATAGCTGTCCACATGCCTCTCGGTCCTACATCTGTTTAAGACGCCTTTCACAATCCCTGAGGGCTCATACTTGTACCTGTCTGCTCACCTTTACTCCACTGCCGTTGTTTCTTTGGAGAACCCCAGAATGGCCTAAGACAAGTCAGTGCTGCATGAGGGTACTAAATGGGGCAGTTCAGCCAGCCCCAGGAAGGTGTGCTGCGGAAATGGGGTCAGGGGACAAGGAGGGGCGAGTGAGTCTGAAAGATTCATATCCCAGGACCACACGCCTGTGAGGCCATCAGGGGAAGGAGTGAACTGCCATTTTGAAGATTAACTTTTGTTCACAAAAATCCTTAATTAGTTTGGTAGTTCATCCACCCAGTGGCCTAGTACACAGATACAAAATAGAATGACGGCTATGAAGATTTGCTAAGCATGTGGAAAGTGTTCCTACTTAAAGAAGAATACAAAGCAGAATGCAAAATTTTACTAACAGTAAGAACGCAAAACAAAAACAAAAGCAAAAGTGAATTCAGAGGAAGCCTGGAGGCAGTGTGCCAAAATGTTGATGGTGGTTATCCTTATGTGGGGGAATTATGGGTGATTTTCTTTTCTGTTTCTTTGTTTTCTATAATGCGTGTATTATTTTTTTGAATGGCAGAAAAACATTTTAACTAATCCTACTCTTAAATTTTTTAAAATTTTAATCCTCACCCTAGGATATGTTTATTTGTTTTAGGGAGAGAGGAAGAGGGAGAGAGAAACACTGATGTGAGAAACATCAAGTGGTTGCCTCCCATATGTGCCCCAACCAGGGATTGTACCCTCAACCCAGGTATGTGCTCTGACTGGGAATTGAACCTGCAACCTTTTTTGGTGTAGGGGATAACAGTCCAACCAACTGAACCACCCAGCCGGGCACCCTCGCTTGAAACCATATGGCACCAGCTCAAAAATTCAGGTCTAGCTGTGCTGCTGGCCCACTGTGTGACCTTGGGTCATCTCTGAACCTCAAACATGCAGCTTACTCCAAAAAGGGCTGTTGATGGGATTAAATGAGAAAAGGGATGAGTTCGGGTAAGTGCCAACTCAGTGCCAACACACAGCAGTATCCTCTCCACGCCCACCTTGTCTGTGCTGACACCGTCCTGCCTGGCACCCCCGATCACGTAGAGCCGGCCAGCACAGGGTGCCACTGCTGCTGAGCTCACGGCCTCTGGGAGGGGCTCCGCAGCTGCCCAGGTGTTGGAGAAGGGGTCGTAGCGCTCCATGCTGCGCAGGCGCTGCAGGCCATCGAAGCCACCCACCACGAACAGCTGTGTGTGAGGACAAGGGGGGGGGGTCCCCCCTACTGGAGTCAGGGCAGGCTCCGAGGCTGTGTGCCAGACACTATCCCACCCCAGCATAAGTGCCAGGCCGACCTGGGGTGAATCCCAGCACTGTATTGCCCGGTTACTGAACCTCCTTTAGCAGACTGCCTCTTGTTAGCTGGGGATAACGACTGCCTCTAGAATGGGTACTGAATGCAGAATCAATCTGTAAAACACTTGGCACCAAGTTAACGCTTAATAATAGCTAGTGGTTAAGGGTTGTCCACCTTAAATGACTCTAAGAGGCACTTTTATTTGCATTTCTGAGTTGGGAATGTAGCTTACAAAGGTAACTGGCAATTTTTTGTGTATTTTTTGTTTGGTCTTAAGTGGCATAGTCAGGATTCAAACCTAGGCTGTTTGGCCCCAGAGCCCACACCCTTGACCCCTAGGCTGTACCACAACAGTAATTACTATCAGCATTAGTATTATGATGTTACTTTGGGCAAGTTCCCTTCTTTTTTGAGACCTCAGATCCCTTCTTACAAAGAGAGAGAGGGTCTTAGAGGGCCTTCCCTAAGGACATCTATGGATCTATACTCTGGGCCCCAGGGCAGCAGCTGCTGCATGTCCCTACCTGTCCCTGCAAGACCGCCATCTTGTGCCTCCACCTGCCCTTGTTCAGCGAGGCCACCTTAATCCAGGTATGCAGATGGGAGCTAAACATCCACACATCGTGGCTGTTGATGTGACCTCCTGCGGAGAGAGAAGCAGTTATTGCTCCCAGGTCCAAAGGAAGGGTAAGAGTAGACAGCAGGAAGGACTTCCTCCTGAGCTGGTGTGAGACTTTGGGCCTGTGACCCAAACAGTGTGCTTTGAACGAGTGGTGGGAAAGTCTGAGTTAGGACAGCAGGCAAAGACTTTTAAGGGGAGAGGCCTGAGAGATTCAGGGAGAAGGAACTAATCACTGGGTGCGTTGTGGTGGTGTGCCAGGCTCTGTGCTCAGGGAAGCAAAGGGGGGCATTTGAGAACACTGAAGGTAAGAGTACAAACGGTGTCCAAGACGAGCATGAGGAGTGCACGGGGGCAGAGAAAACAGCCAGCTACACTGGGATGGGGAGGGGGCGAGGGTGACCCAGTCTGTCTCACTTCTGCCTTCATCTTCATGACTTCATGTCCGTTCTCATCCCTCCATGAAGTGTTGGGATTACTGTACCCAGTTTGCAGATAGGAAACTCAGATGAGGCATGAGAGACCAGGAATGAATGACCTAACGAAGATCACATGGTCTTTCACTGCCAGAGCATTGATCAGAACCAGAGCTTCCATCCCCAAGCCCAACATTGGTTTAGTGAAGGGCACAGAACACTCCATAGGGCCAGCCACTGGGGATGCAGCCTGTGAACTCTCCCTCCCCCTACATGACTGTTGTGGGCTTCGTGACCAGGGACTCACCTCTCAGAAGGAGCTTTCCCAGGCACGATCCTGACTGTACCCTGCAGATGTGGCCTGAGCCACAGCTCTGGTTTGTAGCCCTTTCCTCTATTTCCAGCGGCACCTAGTGGAGGCACCATATGTTGCTCAAAGGCCATCAGTGGCCTTGGATAAACTGTCTAGTGATAAAGTGTGGCCTGGATGGTCCCTAAGGCCTTCCTGTCTCCTGCTTCTTATCCTTCCCAGGCACCCATAGCTCCTACAACATCAAGTGCAGTCTACCGAAGCCTCTCTGATCTGACTCCAGACTCCCCTTCTCCCTCACTTTCATGGCTTTCCCTCCTCTCCCAGATACAGTCAGCCTGTATTTCAGAGCCCTGAGTACCTGGGGTTCCTTTCTGCATGTTCCTGCCTTCGTGCCTTTGTCTGTGCTGTTTCGGGATTCCAGCTCATGTGGGGACTGTGAGAGTTCCTATCAAATTCTACCTGGTCATAAAGGGAAGTCCATTCCCCCCTCTCCAGGGTATGTCAGGGGAGCAGGGACTGTGTTTTATTCTCTGAGTTTCTAGGGCCTCAGTCTCAGGGAAGACACTGTCTGTTGGTATCAAAGCTCCTCCTAGCTTTGTCAATTTTGAGACAATGAGGAAATTCTTAACCTCTCTGAGCCTTTCTCATCTGAAATGGGATTGTAGAGAAAATTAAATAATTAATGTAAGCTGCTGAATAAAATGCTTGGCACAAAGTAGCTAAAAAGAAGTGATTAATACTAATGAGTTGAAGCTGACTTTACTGAAGACAGGGTGGAGTCACACCAGTGATCTGCTCTGCAGTACTACATACCATTTCAGCCAATAATGTAGGTTATCAGGAAAAGCCCCGCCCCCATCTCCTGGTTGGAGGGAAAAACAAAGGGACAGTGCTTAGGTAAGGAAGAGCCAATCCTGTGGGGCCCCCAATGCGGCCCTGGTCTCACCTGAGACATAGATGTCATTGCGGAGAGTACAGGCGGCAAACTCTGAGCGCATGTAACCAGGCAGGCTGGGCAGTGGGGTCCAGCGCTGGCTTTCTGGGTGGTACGCATCGGCGAAGGGCAACCTCAAAAGTCCCTTGCGGTCACATCCGCCAATGACCACGATCACTTCAGCGAGGTCCATGAATCTGGCATGGGGACAAGCCCAGTATCAATTGATCCGCGCCCAAATTTTGGCCCTCACCCTCTCACTGACCACACTGTAGGGTCCTCCTGCCCCATTCCATGCCCTTGTGTCTCTTTCCTAATCCTCTTTCTGGACTCAGACACTTTCAACCTGGCTATTGATGGGATGATAGCCACTAATCATCTCATTCTTCTGACCTCTAAGTTACAGAAAAAGAATCTTTACAAAGCCTAGAAAAGTCACCTGGTTTAATCTCTATGACAGTTCTATTAGGTAGACATTATTACTCCATATCCTCATCGCTAATCCCACTGAACCAGGCCACACACCCTTTCAGCAAAGCATTTTCTCCTCCCACTGAGCCCCCAGTCTTCTGACCCCACCAGAATTCCCAAATCCTTCGGCCATTGGTTTCCTACCTAATTCCTATGATAAATATTGAGCATTTTCTTTGTACCAGGCCCTGTGCTTAGTGTTGGAGATACTGTGGTAAGACAGAGGACCCTTGTTTTCTATCCCTGGAGGATGACAGACTATCTTGGACTACTCCACCTGAAATCTCCCAGTATGGTGTTCCAGGCCCTGCCTATTTATATTCCTTACCAGTCTGAGCTCCCAGAGCATATAGGGTGTTTTCAAATCCCTCCTGAGGCCCGGGGACCCAGCACAAGACCTGCACAAAGGGAGCACTCAAAATTATGGCTGGATGGGCATGAGAAAAAGTACCTAAGGTGTGAGACCCCTGCATCTTCCTATTGGCTGTTAACTCTTCAAGGGCAGAATGCCCAACACCAAGCCTATGAAACGTTTATTGAATGAATGACCGAATTTCATTCAAGAGGCACAATTGAAAAATGACAGAGCAACGAGTAAGTGACTGAAGAATGTGGGAATAAGGACAGGCAGAGGCAAGGGGCGTACCTCCGTGGCCGCGCACGCAGCCCGCCAGCCTCTCGCCCCAGGATGAAGCAGGCTCGGGCCTCGAGCAGCAGCGGGCGGCACTCGCCGCAGGCCCTCAGCAGCTCGTCAGCCTCCACCTTCTCCAAGAAGTAGTCGGGCGCCAGCAGGGGCAGGCGCACGTGCTCCAGCAGGCGCCGCAGCTGCCCTCGTCGGGCCGGCGCGTCGTGCCGCACCCAGCGCATGGCCGCCTCGAACACGGCCTCCTCGCGCGCCACGCCCAGCGCCGGGTCGGCCAGGAGCGCGGCCACCTCGTCGGGCGCCAGCTCCAGGAAGTCAGCGTGGCGCACCACTTCGGTGAAGGCCTGGCGCAGCACGCGGCCGCAGCGCTGGGCCAGGGAGGGGAGCGAGAAGGTGGCGGCCACGCGGCGCAGCGCCAGGCTGTTGGCGGCGCGCAGGCGGCTCTCGAGGAAGCGCGCGCAGGCCTGGCGCAGGCCCGCCACGCCCAGCCGCTCGGCCAGCTCCAGCACGGCGGCCGCCTCGTCCTCGGCGCGCAGCCGCACGCCCGCACCGTACACGTAGTCGAGCACCACGGCCAGCGCCGGTGCCGCCCCTGTCCGCCCTGCGCCCGGCGTCTCGGGCACCACGGGCACCACGGCGAGGCCACGCTCTGGCCGTCCGGCTGCGAACAGGCTGCGGAAGTAGGCGCTGCCCGCACTGAGCGCGGCTCGGTGGCATGGGAAGTCGCGGCCCCCCGCGCGCAGGACCACGTCGGTGAGGGTGCCGCTCTGCCGGTAGGCGTTGAGGGTCTGCAGGACCCGCTGCGCGTGGCAGGACCCCGCGCAAGGCGCTTCAGCACCTGGCTCTGGCTCTGGCTCCTCCAGCACGGGACACTCTAGCATCCTGCTGGGTAGAGAACAACACAGCTAGCGTCGGAAAATCCACCTGGCTGGGGCCAACTATAGGGCAGGAGGCCCCTCATCACGGGCAGGCATACAGGTAAGTAGTTTGCTTTCATTCATTCAGCTACTCTTCTTTCCACTCTCCCACCCAGATTTTTAATGACTGCTGCAAGGTTCTAGTAGCCCCAGCCCACCTGAGGTGCTAGGCGCTGCCTTGGCTGTAGCTAAGCCATTCACCCACTTAAGCCATTTCGCCCTTCCTGCTCTTCAAATTTGCAAGCTGTTTCCTATTAATGTCGACAGGAGTCAGCTGGCACGCTTTCATTTGGGGTAATTTGAGAAGGTTCTAATAAAGGAATGGTTTGTTCAAAGTGTAGACAGTGCTTAGGGAGGCCCATTAGGGACGCAGCAGTGCCACGTGGCTCCCAACTCCAGGGAGTCTTTCCCTCTCCCAAGGTCTGAAGTGGGAGGACTGAGAGGCTACAGGAACCTGTACAAAATATCTGTGTAGGGAAGGGCCACTGATAGGAGCCTTTGGTCAAGGAATTCAGGCTACCCCACAGAGACCCAGTGTGTGTGGAGGAGTATAACCCTGCCACCCTCTCCTCACCCCATCCTGTCTCCTGCCTATCTCCTGTAGGTGCTCACCATTGATCAAACCCAGATCGTTTGTTCCATTTAATACCTGCCCCTCCCCCAACAGCACAGGCTCTGGCCCATAGCAGGTGCTCAGTACAAGGTCAAGTGAATGTATTAAACAAGTATGCATGGAGAACCTTTTCTGTGCCAGGCAGAGAGCAAGGCAGTCATGGTTCCTGACCCGTGGGAGCTCATAGCTTGAGGCAGGGGTGGAGGGGGTGTCCCATGGGAAGTACAGAGTATTAGGGGAGCTCTTAGAAGGGACACTAAGCTCGGAGGGGAGAGTCAGGGAAGGTACCCCCAAGGAGGGGGTCTTCAGAATGAGGATAGGTGGAATTTGCCAGGTGAAGGGAGGGGAGTGGAGGGAGAATGTCTCCAGCTGAGAAAACAGCCTGTGCAAAGGCCTAGGGGGAAAGAGGATACGAGGTTGGAGCCCAGGCCCGCAGGGAAGTTGGCTCTCTCTGTTCTTAAGGAAGCGCCGTGGAGAAGTAGAAAGAGGTTGTCCATAAGGACTGATCTGAGTTCTAATCCTGCCTCTAACATGGATTCTGTGTGACCTGTGCAGATCATGTCCATTCAGTTTCCTCATTTGAAATGAAATCATAAATGCCCACCTCACAGTGTTGTTTTGACTTTGTTACTCTTAAATAGAATGTATAAAAAGTGCTAGGTGGGTAGTACAAACTCAACAAATGTTCTCTACATGGCTTTTACTTAAGGGGAAGGGAGCACACTTAGTTATTTGTGTGTGTGTAATTTTGTTTGATCCTCACAACCCTGAAAAGTTTCTTTAGAGCTCTGCCCTTCTCTCTTTTACGTTTATTACATGGAAAGTACACAGAGGGAACCTGCCTGTCCGAGGTTGCTGTGAGGATTCAAGGAGAGGTGTTTGTGAAAGCACTCTAAGACTGAGGGGCTGTGCTGCGCCAGTCATGACTTGGCCATTATGAACATACAGCCTCTGCTTGCACACCTCCAGGGACAGGCAGCTCACTCCTTTATGTGGTAACTTACTCCAGGGCAGCACAGCTCTGGCCTCTGCCACTTGCCTCTCCTTTCATTCTCCTGATCCCAGATGCTCTCCTCTATGAGACTGCTCTGCCCTAGAGATCATATTTGCCCAGCTTTCACTGCTCATGCCCGGGTCATACTGGGCAGTGATCCCCTGCCTAAGAATCACAGTAAATGAGCTCTCTGGTGGGCAGGGTCCTGGGAAGTTAACTTTGCCCAAATAGAGGGGCGGGCCCCACACCTGGCTCCAACTACATGGCTAGCAGCTCAGCCACATTTGCTAGAGTGGGGGGCGTGTCCCAAGGAGCAGCCTAGGATCCGCTGAGGTAGGTGAGAGAGGTTATCAGAGCAAGCTGCCCCCATTCTATTCTTCGTGAACTGAGAAAGCAGCCACATTCTGAGCTGAGATGCAGGAGGGTAGGTCTCAGCCTGAGGAGGGACTTCTCCCTGCAGAGATGTCCTAGGGCACTAGGGGCTATTTGGGGAGTGAGGGCATCCTCTTCCTGGGAAATGCACCAGTACATTTTCATTCATTCTATAGCTATCTACTGCTCTGGGCACTGGACACATAGGGAGCTCAGACCCAGTTTCTACCCTGGGGTTTCCCATTCTGGGGGCTGGAGGGCACCCAGTTAGAACATGGAAGGTAGGGATTCCAGGCAGGGCTTGATCCAGCATTCTCCCATTCCAGCTAAGAGTCCAGGCACTTCAAGCCATAGGTCCTGATGAAGACTGAGGGACCCGGCCCCTAAAACTTGACATGCCACCCTGCCTTTTTTTTCACACCCACACCCACACACATGCTTAGCTTTGTAGGCACCCTACAGGCAGCCCTGTGTCTTAAGCACTTACCTGGTCACGCCCTCTCCCAGGTGATCCGAAGCTACTGCTCTTGCACAGACCACTTCTTGTCAGTCCTGCCGCCCGAACCCCTGGCAGCCTGGGCTCCAATGTCCCTGCTGTTTTGCCTGGACTGCCGCTCAGGCTCAGCTGCAGGAGGACAAAGGGGCTGGACGCCAGCGGGGAGGGGAAGGGAGAGGAGGGAGGGAAAGGGGATGCTGGGCTTTTGTTTCACTCTTGGACCAGCCTGGAAGGGAGGGAAAGAGGGAGGAGGAAGGAATAAGCATGGGCTTGGCTATGTGCAACTCCAGGATCCGGGTACCTGGATCAGAGTGACCGGGCCCTGGCTCTGTCCCTGAATGATACACAGGTGTGAGGGTGGGTGGGGGGAGGAGAATGCCTCTTCTAGGACATGGTGTATAACCTGGTTATTGCGAGCTTTCAGGTGTTCTGGGGTGCCTGAATGAGAGTGTGGGAGTGCATGGGACTGGGCAACTGCATAGCACCGGGGCGAGTGTAACCTTGTAGCTGCAGGTGTGACTAAGAATGTGACTGCATGGCTTAGAGGTCTAGGTTTCCTTCCTGCCCCTGTGTGACTCTGTGCCGCGTCTGTGTTACTGCTGATAGCAGACATCATTGTGGACCTTGTGTCTGGTTATATGCCTTGTGTGTCCCTGTCTCTCAATTTTTTATTATTTATTATTTTTTTATCCTCACCCGAGGACATTTTTCCATTCTTTGTTCAGGTAGAGTGGGAGGGAGAGAGAGGAATAGAGAGAGAGAGAGAAACATCGATGTGAAAGGAACACATTGAGTGGCTGCCACCCGCACAACCGACCAGGGCCAGGGACAAACTGCAACCGAGGTACGCGCCCTTAGCGGGAACCGAACCCGGGTCTCTCAGGACCGCAGGCCGATGCTCTAACCGCTGAGCCAAACCGGCCAGGGCTGTCCCTGTCTCTTTGTCTCCATGTGATTGTTCATTTCTGTGTGTGACGAGTGTGTCTCTGGGGACTGTATGTGTGTGCATGACGGGTCTGTGTCTGGACCATGTGGTGGGTGTGGACATCCTGTGGTCCTCTGGGATTCAGTATGAGTTGAGGTTTTCACTCAACAATGTACATACCTTGGAGGTAGCACAGTAGGACTGGCATGGTGATTCCAGACAGGCCTGGTTGGGGTGGAGATAAGGAGGCAGCTCTGGGCTGGCCTGGCTTCTAGGAGCCAGAGGGAAGTGACTCCATAGATCGGTGCCAGATCATTTGCTTTCTCTACAGAGGGCCCCAGGGCCTGGTGTCTATGGGGTGGGTGAGGGGGTTTGGTTTCATGGAAGAGGACAGCAGTTTGGAAGGAGGTTGCCTTGACAAGAGCCCCAGTGGGGCTCTGTTTCTGGCTGTTGCCTTGAGTCGCCTGGAAGCCCTAGGCCAGTCCTTCCCTTGGCCCGGGCCTTTCATCTTGACAGGAGGGATAATCCAGATTTCTGCTCTGTCTTACAGAAAGCCTTGTGCCTTGAGAAGTCGCTGAGGCCAGAGTGCTGCAGGAGCCTGCCCTGGCCAGGCTCAGGTAGGTCATCTGTGGAAGGAGTCCTGATGGGAGGAGTCAGTGTGGTGGGAGGGGCCAATGTGACAGTGGCCAGGTCTGTCTTCTGAGGCCATGGCAGTGTTCCACCGACCCTGTGCCAGGGAGTGATGTATCCCCCTTCTACCTAAAAATAGGATGGTGTGTGACAGATTCAGGCACTTTTTAAGAACTATTTATTTATTCTTTATTCCCATCTTTCACACACCTCCCCACTGGCAACCATCAGCTTGTTCTCTATATCTATTAGTCTATTTCTGTTTTGTTGGTTTATTCATTTGTGTGTGTGTTTTTAAGATCATATAAGGGAAGTTATACAGTATTTGTTTTTATCTGTCTGACTTATTCACTTAGCATAATCCATCCACCTTGTTGCAAATGGCAAGCTTTATTCTTTTTTTTAATTGCTGAATAATATTTTATTGTATATATGTACCACATCTTTATCCATTCAACTGTTAATGGACACTTAAGTTGCTTCCATATCATGGCTATTACTACTAATGCTACAATGAACATAGGGGTGTATATTTTTGAATTAATGTTTTTGTTTTCTTTGGATAAATACCCAGAAATGGACTTGGTGGATTGTGTAGCAGCTCTATTTTTAATTTTTTGAGGACCCCCCACACCGTTTCCCTTAGTGATGGCACTAATTTAAAATCCCACCAGCAGTGAATAAGGGTTCCTTTTCTCCACATCCTTGCCAACACTTATTTTTTGTTATTTATTGATGATAGCCATTCTGACAGGTGTGAGGTGATAACTCATTGTGGGTTTTTTTTAATTGGCATTTCCTTGTTGATCAGTGATGTTGAGTATCTTTTCATATGATGGTTGGTCGTCTGTATGTCCTCTTTGGAGAAATGTCTATTCAGGTTCTCTGCCCATTTTTAAATCTGTTTGGTTTTTTTTTTGGGGGGGGGGTGTTA